AAAAAAAAAAACAATCAAAACTTCAGGAAACAATGGATACACTTATAGAAATGCAAAATGCTCTGGAAAGTCTCAGCAATAGAATCAAACAAGCAGAAGAAAGAACTTCAGAGCTCGAAAACAAGGTTTTTGAATTAACCCAATCCAACAAAGACAAAGAAAAAAGAATAAGAAAATATGAACAAAGCCTCCAAGAAGTCTGGGATTATGTTTAACAAGCAAACCTGAGAATAATTGGCATTTCTGAGGAATAAGAGAAATCCAAAAGTTTGGAAAACATATTTGGGGAATAATAAAGGAAAACTTCCCTAACTTGCTAGAGACCTCTTCATCCAAATACAAGAAGCTCAAAGAACACCTGGGAAATTCATTGCAAAAAGATGATTGCCTAGGCTTACAGTCATCAGGTTATCTAAAGTTAAGACAAAGGAAAGAATCTTAAGATCTATGAGGCAAAAACACCAGGTAACCTATAAAGGAAAACCTATCAGATTAACAGCAAATTTCTCAGCAGAAACCCTCCAAGACAAAAGGGACTTGGGCCCTATCTTCAGCCTCCTTCAACAAAACAATTGTTTCCAGCGAAACTAAGCTTCATAAATGAAGAAAGGATACAGTCCTTTTCAGACAAATGCTGAAAGAACTCACCACTACCAAGCCAGCACTACAACAGTTGTTAAATTGAATTCTAAATCTTGAAACAAATCCTGGAAATACATCAAAACAGAACCTCTTTAAAGTATACATCTCACAGGATCTATAAAGCAAAAATACAATTCAAAAAATAAAAACAAAAAACCAAGGTATACAGGCAACAAATAGTATGATGAACTGAATGGTACCTTACATCTCAACACTAATGTTGCATGTAAATGGCCTAAATGCTCCACTTAAAAGATACAGAATTGCAGAACGTGTAAGAATTCACCAACCAACTATTTTCTGCCTTCAAGAAACTCACCTAACACATAAGGACTCATACACTTAAGGTAAAGGGGTAGAAAAAGATATTCCATGCAAAGGGACACCAAAAGCAAGCAGGAGTAGCCATTATTATATCAGACAAACAAACTTTAAAGCAACAGCAGTTAAAAAAGACAAAGAGAGGGCCAGGCTCATGCCTGAAATCCCAGCACTTTGAGAGGTCGACGTGGGCAGATCACTTGAGGTCAGGAGTTCGAGACCAACCTGGCCAACATGATGAAACCCCATCTCTACTAAAAATACAAAAATTAGCCAGGCATGGTGGCTCATGCCTATAGTCCCAGCTACTCAGAAGGCTGAAACAGGAGAGTCGCTTGATCCTGGGAGGCAGAGGTTGCAGTGAGCCAAGATCGTGCCACTGCGCTCCAGCCTAGGTGACACGACACAGCAAGACTGTCTCAAAAAAAAAAAAAGGACAAAGAGGGGCATTATATAATGACAAAAGGCCTTGTCCAACAGGAAACTATCACAATCCTAAATATATATGCACCTAACACTGGAGTACCCAAATTTATAAAACAATTTATAGACCTAAGAAATGGGATAGACAGCAACACAGTAATAGAAGGGGACTTCAATACTCCACTGACAGCACCAGACAGCTCATCAAGACAGAAATTCAACAAAGAAACAATAGTTTTAAACTATACCCTGGGACAAATGGACTTAATAGATACTTACAGAGCATTCTACTCAACCACCACAGAATATACATTCTATTCGTCAATGTATGGAACTTTCTCAAAGACAGGCCATATGATAGGCCACAAAATGAGCCTCAATACATTTAAGAAAATTGAACTTATATCAAGCACTCTCTCAGACCACGGTGGAATAAAATGGAAATCAATTCCAAAAGGAACCTTCAAAACCATAAAAATACATGGAAATTAAATAACCTGCTCCTAAATGATCATTGGGTCAAAAATGAAATCAAGTTGGAAATTAAAAAATTCTTCAAGGGCCGGGCGCGGTGGCTCATGCCTGTAATCCCAGCACTTTGGGAGGCCGAGGCGGGTGGATCACAAGGTCAAGAGATCGAGACCATCCTGGTCAACATGGTGAAACCCCGTCTCTCTAAAAATACAAAAATTTAGCTGGGCATGGTGGCCCATGCCTGTAATCCCAGCTACATAGGAGGCTGAGGCAGGAGAATTACCTGAACCCAGGAGGCGGAGGTTGTGGTGAGCTGAAATCGTGCCATTGCACTCCAGCCTGGGTAACAAGAGCGAAACTCCGTCCCAAAAAAAAAAAAATTCTTCAAAACTGAACGACAATAGTGACACAACCTATCAAAACCTCTGGGATGCAACAAAGGCAGTGCTAAAAGGAAA